TACGACTGCGGCTCTAACAATGTTGTCACTTCCTGGAAAGGTATCCAAGATTCTGCCAAGCACCCATTTCAAGGGAGGGGTACCATCCTCTCGACAAATTACTAGCTGTCCGACTTGAATGGAGGGACCTTGATTAGCATGCCATTTTGTACGTTGCTGCAGTTGACTCAAGTAATCTCTCGACCAACGCCTCCAAAAATGCTGACGCATTTGCTCTAAATGCTGCCATCTTGATAAACGATTAGTTTGTATTTGCATGAGACTAGGCTCAGGATACGACGTCAGGGCGTCGCCAATTAGAAAGTGCCCTGCTGAAATGTAGCTCATGTCATTAGGATCAGATGACATAGCTGTTAACGGCCTCGAATTGAGAACAGCTTCCACTTGGGATACAAATGTCGATGCTTCTTCAAAGGTGAGTGGCGTTTCACCGACTATTTTATAAAAGTGCCTTTTGAACGCCTTCACGGTGGCTTCCCACAAGCCGCCAAAATGTGGTGCACGCGGAGGTATGAAGTGCCAATTAATTCTTTGATTGGCTGCTTCGTTTAAAATTTTATCCTGATGCTCTTTCTGATTACACAGAGCTCTGAGCTCCTCTAATTCATGATTGGCTCCTGTAAAATTAGTTCCATTATCTGAAAAAACATCTACAGGCTTACCTCTACGAGCGATGAATCGCTTGAACGCGTTAAGAAACGCATCCGTTGTCAAGTTCGATACTACTTCCAGATGCGTAGCCTTTGTTGCCATGCACACAAATACCGCTACGAAAGCTTTGACTCGTTTACTGCTTCTCCGTGAGCCTTCACGAATATAGATTGGCCCGCAATAATCCACTCCTGTACTGCTGAATGGCCTTGATAACGTAACTCTCTGCATCGGCAGGTCTCCCATCAACTGCTCTGAAAACCGTGGCTTTGACCTGAAACATTTTATGCAACCGCGCAACAATCTGCGAACAGTACCGCGCGCCCTGATCGGCCAATATTTTTGACGAACAGCAGCCAGTGTTGCGTCTGCTCCAATATGCAAGCTCCTCAAGTGCTCATGCTCTATGATGATCTCCGTTAACTTGGAATGATGAGGTAGCAATATTGGATGTTTAATATCTGATGATAATTGTGCGTTTCTTAATCTACCTCCAACTCTTAATAGGTGATCCTCATCCAAGAATGGACTTAAGTATTTTAAACAACTTTGTTGCAAAATTGCTTTATCCTTTTTTAGCCTATTGATTTCCTCAGAGAATGCAATCTCTTGCTCTCTTCTCACTAAGCCTTTCTCCGCCTTTTCTAGTTCGCTTGATGTTAATGGACCATATGCCTTTTCTTTCTTACAATTAGATAAAAAGCGTAAACATGTGGCTGCGATTCGAACTCTTCTATTGAAACTGCTGTATTTCTCAAACGGATTCGTGACGCTGCAGGCGGATACAGCCACTACTGTCGATTTGTCACGGTCCTCTAGTTGACTTTCATCATAATCGATTTGTTCGTGTTGTTCTTCCGGCAAGTGTCGCTGATGCAACCAACGAGGCCCATTCCACCAGATTTGCGAACCTAGGGAATTCTTGATGCTATCCCCACGCGATATCAAATCCGCAGGATTTTCTTTACCTTG